GAGACGCGCGCCCGACAGACGCGTGACGCAAATTTTGAAGCTGATTAAGTTACTCCAGCTTCCGCGGCGAGCGCTGCTGCCGCCGCGGGCGACGTAATCGCTGCGGAGAGCGACAAATGAGCCGACACCTGCCCATCACACGGATTTCTTTAGTAATAAGATGCGGACAGTGCGACTTTCGTGTTTGGTTCAGCACTGTCTGAATTTCTCTTGCGGATTTAAAATTAAATGCGTAAAATATCTTGCACACCCTCTTCTTTATTATTTCCCCAAGAATTTATTGTCGATTCCGGCCTCTAGTTTTGCTTCTTACTTAACGTGACTTCTGTTCCAATCTGATCTTAAGTGAGTAGACGTTTGATGATTTACAATGCTCCCGTATTAACTGCCAATGTCAAGCTATTATCATTATAAATTTCTTTCTATTTATTACGGAATACAAGTACACAAGATCTTATTTTGTCTTACAAGTGAATATATAGATTGAAGAAACTGTGTATTGGAATTGGCGTAAGAGCATTACATGTGATCTTCATTTTTTTATTTGCCCTTCAATTTTTAATTTGGTTTTCTGCCTTATTTCAAACAAATTCTGAATACTTTCTATTTTCTGAAAAATAGAAACAGAAACAATACCAAACCACTACAAGCTTATAGTTTAACAATATTTCTACAATGTGACATTGTTAGTTCCCACGTGAATGTTTTCACATCTTCACAGTCCGGTATGAAAGTGGCAAACATTAATGACTTTCTTGAAATCATTTTATTCCAGACATATTATTCGAAATTGGTATACGTGCATTTCTAGAGAATATTAGAAGCAAGCGTGAATAATATAAAAATCAAAATGTGTAGACGGGGATAGCTCATCGTACGCAATGCTTAAGATTTATGTGACGTTCAATACATCATGTGGTGTTCGTGCACTTTCTACACACAGAGGACAGTGCTATTACTAAACAAAGTCATTTGTGTCTTTTTTTGGCGGGTATTTTTCTTAAAGAAAATTTCTTACTAACCTTTTAAGAGTTCATGATAATGACGATGAATCAATTGGATACCGCCTCTTTTATACGCCCTTTGACCTTTTTGATAATGGGATATTAAACATAGCAGTTCTTCAAGGGTAGGTACACGTAACCATTATTCTTAGCTTCAGAGAACGCTTGGAAGTATATCCAATATTTATTACACGATAATTTAGGATAGAGATGTGCCATGAAGGTCGCATGAATGTTGTTCAGTGTATTTCACTTTATATTAACAGTGCAAAATAAATTACGACAAATATCTTCAAAATGAATTGTGATTTCTTTAGCGTTGAAATTGACGAATTTACAATCGTCACAACTAAGGTCAAAGCATTGACCATGGGTTAAATCATTAAAAAAATATATTTGTAATACTCGTTTTTATTCACTGGTTTATGACACCGGAAGATTAGGTGATTATTAGAGAAGGGAAAAGTCAACTGTTATAGAAATTCGGCAGACAAAGAAATAAAATTGAGGAAGAAGAAAAAAAATGGACGAAATTGACATACATTTTGACATATGAAATAATAATTAATTGTAAATTACGGAATATGGTACTAACCAACTATGATAATCTATACGTATTACTAATTTGCTCTAATCTATGCGTATTAGTATTGCATTTTGTAATTAACAAAGTGCGTAAATTGAAAGAAAACTACGTGGGCACGTGAAAGTTGTCTATTTTTTCGTACGTTATATAGGAACTCGGGAAATATCTGGAAGCAATTATTTAAAAAAATAAATTAGCCAACAGTTTCGATTTTACTGAAAAATAAAAATATATTATTGTTTTATTCTGCTTATTCTCACTCGGCGCTTTCCGACTAAATCCTCGTACTCAACAAGTCCCTTTTTTCAACACAGCTGACGTCTTGCAGCCACAAGGCTCCAGGGAAGAGGTCGGACATTTTATATTTGCTATTCACGTGTTGCGTTATCCAACAACTTTTTTAATATTCTTGGCATGTAAGAACTGTTGTACTGTTTATATATTTTACGGTGTTTCGTAATATTCGTGAAGACTGTATTTGTTAAAAATATTTAATTTATTGCAACGTTACATGAAAATATTTTGTTTGTAGTTCTCAAGAAAAACGGTTGCTTGTGCTGTCGTTCAGCAGAATACTTCCTGTTGCAGACTTGTTTTATTTTAAAAAAATAGTGTGAACTATGAAACTTATGACGATTCCTTAATTCTTTTGTAGGTCACTACGGAGGTGAATTGTTGAATATTTTTTAAATGTATTTTCAGTCATCTCGGAAGTATTTAAACGTAGCTAAATTTTTTAAAAAGTGTTCTCTAGATACCAGTGAAGAAGAATCAACAAAAGATCAGACAGCTCTTTATCTTGTGTCATCAATTTCTCTAGTGAATCAAAATCTTCAGCAAGCACATATTTGAGTGTCAGTAAATTAAGTCAGTTTCTATTCATCGAATTACAGGATTAATCATTCTTCATTCCGGTTGAATAATCTACGTAGACTTTTCACAAAAATATTGGGTCAAACGCACTTGAACTAGGCAGACCTCCAGACCTAGAAAATTGTGAAACCCGACCACCTCCCGTCCCCATGACCTTCTCCCAAAATCTACTGCGTTTACCTAACCCCTTAACCAAGCAGCTGATTGGATTCAGTGGTTCCCACCCACTCACGCGCGCCGATTTTATGGGGCACAGAGTAAACACGTCGTTATAACAGCCGAGGAGGGGCGGGGCGGGGTAGGGGGGAACAAAGGGAAGTGAGAGGATTTCAAAAAGCAGCGCAGCAGCAGCAGCAGCAGCAGGCAGGCAAGCAGCAGCAGCAGCATGCAGCAAGCAGCAGGCAGCAGCACAGCAGC